TTTTAAATCAAAAGTAGTCAACTACATAGATGCATGGTACAATGCCCTTGTGCAAATTTGTGAAATGTGCAATTCATGTTCCATGGATAATTTAATTATGCCAATTCGATAGAACCTATTATGCTAATTTAGTTACGTGACATGCTCGTCACCTATGCGGAAGAATTATTCGTTCTGTGATAGTCAAGACAATTTAAATGTCTGAAAATGCACGTATTTTGAATTTCTGGTCAGTTATTGTCGCTGGCGGACCCAGGGCCCGGCGACCCTAGGCCGCCGCTCGGGCTCATCGACACCGATTCTCTTATTGTCGATGTTTTACCACCGGCAACCCGTCACGGGGTATCCGGGACGGTGATTTGTTCGGAGGGGTATCGACGTTTGCAGGAACTCGATGGTAAACGCAGGGAGACAACGATTTATACTGGTTCGGTACGCCGGAAAGTCACGGCGCCCTACGTCCAGTCTAGTGTGGATAGTATATTGCGCCCTGCGCTATTTGTTGTGTTTGTGAGTTCTGGTATTGTCTCTCTCGATCTAGAGACCCCTGCCCTCCTTTATATAGTCCAGGAGAGGCGGGAGTCCTAGTCGGTTATAAAGTAGAGATCCTAATAGAATTATACGTAACTAGTCCTAATAGGATTACATGTAGGGAATTCTAGTTGGACTAGGTCTTCTTCTCTCTTCTCCGTGCGGAACCCTATGGGTCCCGCATCGATAAGCCCCCGAGCATTTCATGATTGAGCTTCAAGGGCCGGGTTGTTGTAGACTTGTTCCGGGTTCTTTCTTGAAGTGAAATCTTGAGATGGTCTTCTTTGTCTTTTCTCCGGCTGATGTGCACTTTTGGACAAAAGTGCACTCAGTGATTGTAGCCCCCGAGCCTCTTGCTTGTTGGGACAAGAAGCTAGAGGGTCCCTTTAGTCTTCTTGGTTGCTCCGAGTTCTTTTTGGGTGGGTGCAATTTTTCAGTAAAAATTGCACTCCTCGAGTGTAGCCCTTGAGCCTCTTGCTTTTGCTTGCAAAAGTTGGAGGGTCTAGATTCTTGTCTTAAAAAAAATTCTGGGGTTATTTATCCATGAGCCCCGAGCCTTCTCTCGAGTACTTTTCTTTTAGAATAGAAATCGGATGAAGGGTCTTGATGTGTTGTCGTTGTTGTAGTCTTGAGTACTTGTTTTCTTGGTCTTTTCGTCCTTGAATCTGGAGCCCCAGGCGTAGTTGAAGCGAATGCCGAGCTCCCGAGCTTAGTGTTTGACTAAGTCGTGATGCTCTTCCGAGTTGTTTTTATTCATCCGAGTTGTTTCGGACTTCTACGGTTCTTGATGTACCTCTTCCAGTTGTTTGCACTTCGTCCGTGTTCTTTCTCGAACTTGTATGTACCTCATCCGGGTTGTTTTTTCGATCAATCCGGGTTCTTCTCAATTTGTCTTGTTACTTGCAAAGCACCTCTTCGGGGTTGTTTTACGATCGTTTGGGTTCTTTCTCGAACTTGTATGTACCTCATCCGGGTTGTTTTCGATCAATCCGGTTTTTTCTAATTTGTCTTGTTACTTGCAAAGCATCTCTTGTGGTTGTTTTTCGATCGTCCGGGTTCTTCTCGAACTTGTATGTACCTCATCCGGGTTGTTTTCTCGATCAATCCGGGTTCTTTTCAATTTGTCTTGTTACTTGCAAAGCACCTCTTGAGGGTTGTTTTCGATCGATCGTCGGGTTCTTTTCGAACTTGTATGTACCTCATCCGAAAGTTGTTTTCGATCAATCCGGGTTCTTTTCGAATTTGTCTTGTTACTTGCAAAGCACCTCTTGTGGTTGTTTTTCGATCGTTCGAGTTCTTTCTAAGCGCTTGTCTTGGTTCTTGCCGCACCTTGTCGGGGTTCTTTTTTGTTCAAACCAGCTTGTTTCTGGACTAGCTCTCAGCTCTCCTGCATGTTAAACATAAAAATATGTTGTAAATGATATTCCGGATATAAAGTCGGGAGCATGTCCCATATTTGAATAATCAATCAGGGGCGGGCCCCGGCATTATGAAATGCATATAAACTTTTTGCGTCTTGCTCTTGCTAGGCCATGCAAATTCCTCAGGTAGTGTCCTGTTACGTTTAAGCACTTGAATCTCTGGCGTATGGTTCAGAGGTTCATGACGTGACCATGTGAGCCTGGCACTCGGTTCGTGACCGTCCATGTGAGTAGACAAGCTTCACGGATTAAGGCGTGTTCTACCTAAGGAATTCGGCGACCGTTAAGAGAAGACCTAGAGCGCTATGTTTGCTCGCATGATGATTTTTTATGTCTTCCCTTGCTAGGTCGGTTAGTTTCCTGGGTAGTAGCCTGTTACGTTTAAGCACTTGAATCTCGCGTTTGGTTCAGAGGTCCATTGACGTGACCACCCGTATGGTTCAGAGGTTCTTTGACGTGACCATCCGTATGGTTCAGAGGTTCATTGACGTGACCATCCATTCGAGAAAACAAGCTTCACGAATTAAGGCTTACTATCCGAGGAAACTAACAGCCGTTAGGGGAAGATGATATGGCCACAAAGGCATACGAATAATATCCGGAATGTAAAAAATTAAAGCGTTACTTAGCTTGGTTCATGGCAGAGTTGTCGATCACCGCAGGCGGGTAGTTGATCGGCGTGGCGTGCAACCGAGTAGTTGGCGTAGATGGAGGTAGACTTGATAGCTCTCTTGTCGCCGACATGTCAAGTACTCAGATCAACTCGGAACCCGTCGCGTGTACTCTGAAGTCGCTACCGAGTATCAGGAAGCCGTTGTCGAGTACCCGGTTGAGTCCGAGTAGTGGGAGTAGTCCATCAAGCGTCACACGGTAGAGTCGTCGAGTTGTTGTTGTGATCGGCACTGATGGCGTGGGGGCGGTGCACCCTTTCAGCTTGACGTGAGCCTTCTTGTTGACCCCCTCCCTTTTTCTTTTTTCTTTTTTTTTGAGGCAGTCGTAGACATCTGTTCGTGCACGAATATATACACGTATACGTTGCCATTGGCCTTGCTTTGCTTCGTCATCTTGGCTTGCATGGTGAGGTAAGTTGCTCCCTGGTAGATTCTTGATGGAGCCGAGTTGTCGTGTGTGCATGTAGCCGAACAACCCGGTGGATCTTGATGCAGCGATGCAATTTGCTTGTGGTCTTGGACATCTTGTTAGCTTCTGGCTTGGTTCTGATTTGGCTGGATGGCTTGTTATGTATGTACGTGTATGTACAGCTTCTTTATTTGCATCTTGAAGTGGTTGGACATCGTGGTGAGTTCTCGTCATCTAGTTCTTGACCGGATCCGTTCCAGTTGAGTTGTCAATGTGCCTTCTTCATGTATATTTGCATATATACACGTATATGAAAAAACCAAATATTAATACGTTGATTGCTTTTGGCTAGCTTGCTGCTTGTGTCATCCTTGTAGCATCCTTTGCATGTACTTTGAGCAGATGGATATCGTCTTGTCTGTCATAGTAGAATTTGTATCCGATGCCAGGACTTTTTGCTTGATACAGTACTCGGCTTGGATAGAATTGGCCCTAGGACTTGTACGTGCTTGCTTCTAAACATTGTATTAGCTTGTGCACGGAATCTTTGTCGCTTTGCTGATGTATACGTCATCCCATATTTTCTCTCATGAATCTGCCTTATGTCGTCTTGCTCTGTGTCCCATTCTAGATAGGTTGTCCGTGATGGAGTTGAATCATCCTGGAGTTGAGTAAATTAATTCTATTCGGACTTGGCACCGTGATCAGACCGAAGCTGATTCTAGTTCGGCTTGCACTTGGCCTCCAGTGGCTCCGTGTACCGTCCAGCTGCTTGTACTATGCCTCGAGACGTCGGGTTGCTGTTAGTGTACGCGCACCTTCCCAGCGGCAGCCTGAACGATCGATTGGATGTACGAGGACGTCGCCGAGAACATGCGCTTCAGCGAGTTGTCGAATGATGCCAATGACAGCCGCGGCGAATCTTGATCTCGGCGTCTTCCGAGCCGCAGCAAGTTATCGACGAGGTTGACGAGAGCCGCGGCGAGTTGTCGACAAGGCCGACGAGGGTCGCGGCGAATCTTTATTTTGAGGTCCACCGAGCTCTCGAATGCAAAGCGCCGAGGTCCCCTACCTGGCGCGCCAGCTGTCGATGTTTTACCACCGGCAACCCGTCATGGGATATCCGGGACGATGATTTGTTCGGAGAGGTATCGGCGTTTGTAGGAACTCGATGGTAAACGTAGGGAGACAACGATTTATACTGGTTCGGTACGCCGGAAAGTCACGGCGCCCTACGTCTAGTCTGGTGTGGATAGTATATTACGCCCTGCGCTATTTGTTGTGTTTGTGAGTTCTGGTATTGTCTCTCTCGATCTAGGGACCCCTGCCCTCCTTTATATAGTCCAGGAGAGGCGGGAATCCTAGTCAGTTACAAAGTAGAGATTTTAATAGGATTATACGTAACTAGTCCTAATAGAATTACATGTAGGGAATCCTAGTTGGACTAGGTCTTCTTCTCTCTTCTCCGTGCGGAACCCTATGGGTCCCGCATCGACACTTATGAAAAATTTTGTTTAGCCTATGTACTTAAGAGATTAGGCTTAATCTCATACATAGCCATTGGATCCACCCGGGCTTATATATATAACTAGCTGGAGGCCCCGCACGTTTTTTTTTTAATTTTCAGGTGCGAACGCAAAAAAAAACGAAAAGGTTGGCATTGGATTCGTTACTGTTCATCACGGGCCCGATACCCTGGCACTGTGGATCTACAGTGATCTGAGGCTCGTGGTGATTCGGATGAACAGTAAATTGATGTGGCATGCCTCAAATTTAAAGTTCGACTGTCTCCAACGAGGAGACCCACACCCATTTTTGCGTCCGGCACAGTTGTTTGCCTTCCCGAAAACATCCTCCAACGACGGACCCATACACCCGACGTATTTTGCCTGCTCCCCTGAACGCCAGGCAAAAAAGCGTCCCCTCTCTCTCGCTACGCAAATCGCAGAGTCGGAGCTCGCCCGCGCCATGGCCGAGGCGGAGCTCGCCCGCGCCGTGGCCGAGGCGGAGCTCGGGGCGGGGGCGGAGCTCGCCCGCGCCCGCCACCGGTGTTGGAGGAGGAGCGCGCGGCGAGGCGGGGAGCGGGGCGCGGCCGTCGGGGAGCGGGGATCCGGGGTCCTCCGTGCCGGGGCGGAGCTCGCCCCCACCCGCCGCCGGTGTTGGAGGAGGAGTGCGCGTGGAGGCATGGAGGCCGGAGATGACGACGAGGATGTCCTTGGCGCGGTCCTGGACGGATGAGGCGGCGACCTCCGGCGGATTTGGGAGCTTTTGCGTTTGCGGTCGGTTAGAGAGGCTCACTTTTGCGTGGTGACTTTTTTTCACTGTGCCGGACCCAAACCAAGATATAGGTGTTGTATTTGAGTCTCATGGTTGGAGTCAGTCTTACTAGCTGGAGGCCACGTGCTTCGCACGGTTTTTTTTTAATTTTCAGGTGTGAACGCCAAAAAAAGAAAAAAACGAAAAAGGTTGGTACTGTTCCTTAGCGGGTCATGCACTGTTCATCGTGATTCGCTACTGTTCATCTATGGTGATCTGAGGGGCGCCGGATGAACAGTGATGGCGACGTGACCCCTCGAACCTATATTTTTTTATAGATATAGATATAGATATAGTTTTGCGTCCGCTACTGGTTATTGCGATATTTGTGCTACTAGATGATGAGGCCAAGGGTAGACTTGTCAATGTACCATGCACTCTCTCCTCTCCCAAGCTAGACAATCCTTCTTTAATGCGGGCGGTGTGTGCTGAGCAAGACCGTGTTTTCACGGTGTCCTCAAGCCTAAAGTAACAAATCTGGTGTGGTGTGAACAATACCACCATTTTGTGATGTCCCATAGACAAATGGCCCAATTTATTTTGTGGCCCATGTGAAATCGGCCCGTGCTCCGGCCTGCTAGCTGCCTGGCCGGCATCAGCTTAGGGTTCCTCCCTTCCCGTATAAAAGCCTTCCCTCCGCGCCGCCACGCAGTTCTCTCTTCTCTGGCCATTCCTCGTCTCGCTCGCTCGCTCGCTCGCCGCCGCCTTCGGGTTCGCTCGCCAGCTGCAGCCATGGTTTGTCTCTGTCTGCGCTTCTGGTTTTCTCCTCCTTTTTTTTTTCGATGGTATTCTGATCCTTCTTCTCGATTGTTGACAGGTGAAGTACTCGAGGGAGCCGTCCAACCCCACCAAATGTAAGCATCTTCGACTCTTATACTTTCTTCAATTCGTCTGTCTACCCCTTGTACGAAGGCTATCTTGATTCGGAAGCTGATGATCCTTTGTCTTTGTTTTTCCAGCCGCCAAGGCTATGGGTCGGGACCTGCGTGTGCACTTTAAGGTGAGTTGTTGAACAAATGAAGATTTGATCTCTGCAAATTAGTACTAGTAGTATGTTCTTATCTGTGCTGTAAACATTTGTTTTTCTGCTTGTGCCTGAAGTTAGACTTCTCAAATTTCTAGGTTGGAAGTGCAATTGAAATAGCTGAATCTGACATGAGCTTAGGTGCCCTTTTGTTTATTTTTGACTCTTTTATTTAAGCACTATCCTTCTAAACTTGTACTTCTTCATATTTTTGGTAATTAGTTAGATTGTTTCTGTAGATAGTTTCAGTGAATGATGGCACAGGCATGCCTGACTCCACATGCTTAATGGAATGGAATGGAATGCATTTGAATGTTCTATCGATGATCAGTTTCTGTTGTAATTATGATTAATTCTAATTTCTTTCAATTGCGTGGTCCTGCAATATTTCATTCTTCTGGTTGCAAAATGACCTCTCTTTTTAGCGATGATACTTATACATTACACTTGCAGTCAGGTGCAAAAGTTACTTAATGCAACTCTTGCCTTCTTATATTCTCACTTTTTGTAACTATCTTTTGGTTACATTTTAACTGATGCTATTGGAACAACGCATTATTCATTTATTTATCTGCTGATAATATGAAAATGTAGATCAGGTTCACATTCCAGAATTTATATTTTGCTGTGTTAATATAGGTACTTTGGTTACTGTTAGTGAATAAAGCATTAGCTACCTACACATGATTTGTTAGTGTAGTTTGGGATCAGATTGCAGTATATATATGTTGATGTATCACTTGTAGTCACTTTAGTTACTGGCCTAAATTAAAAAAATATTTTTTTTTTGTAATGATAGGATTTTTTATCTTTAGGTAAACAATTTTCTATTTTCTTGGATGAGCTATTGATCATAGTATAGCCACTGGTTTAGCTATGATAAACTTTGCAGTATGTATTGCTTCTCAAGTAGCTTCTATTTGAATAGATTTGAGGATTCGATTGGTCTCTTTAGGATGCAAATACGTTCAGGAACGACTAATTTAGTTGGAAACCCTTGTGGTGGATTTATCTTACTGAATACATGTTGGTAATATTTTTGCACTCATTTTGTTCAGAACACACGTGAGACAGCTTTTGCCATCAGGAAGCTGCAGCTCGCCAAGGCTAAAAGGTATCTTGAGGATGTGATTGCCCACAAGCAAGCCATTCCCTTCCGTGAGGTACTGTGGCGGTGTTGGACGACAGCGCAAGCTAAGTCTCGCCACTCGAATGGTCAGGGACGTTGGCCTGCCAAGTCTGCTAGGTTCATTTTGGATCTTCTAAAAAATGCAGAGAGCAATGCTGAGGTATGTTATCTTGCCTCGTTGTGTGAGTTTTCCTTGTTGTATACTGCATGATTATTCAATGTTTTTCTTCCACCTGTAGGTTAAGGGATTGGATGTCGATACGCTCTATGTGTCGCATATTCAGGTGAACCAAGCTCAGAAGCAACGGCGCAGGACTTACCGTGCTCATGGGCGCATCAACCGTGAGTTCAGATTAATATTGTATTGATCTTTGTATCACTCGTTTATAGTATTGGAGTATTCTCATGTCCTTGATTACATCCCGCAGCTTACATGTCTTCCCCATGCCACATTGAGCTGATGCTTTCAGAGAAGGAAGAGCCAGTGAAGAAAGAGGTATGCTCTTCTAACAGTTTTTTTTTTCCTTAGCATAATATTTCTTTGTTTCTGCTTGCTCAGTGATAAACTGACAATTGATGCCCATATTTATGCTGTGTAGGCTGAGACCCAAATTGCACCCAGGAAGGCCTAGAAGATATGAATCAGTTAGAGTGAACCGATCGCCTGTATCTCCTTTTTTCTGTACTGTTGGTGCATACTTCATCGATCCCCAGAATGGAACCTTTCGTCCTGCAGTTGTGACGACATCCCCACAATGAGAATGTTGCCTCAGTAGTAGATTTACTCATTTGTAATCCAACTAAACTACCTTGGTGCTGGTTTTTGTAAAATTGTTAGTCTCCTTGACTAAGACTCTAAGAGCGATCCTTAGGTCAGCACATCATCTAAAGATATGATTTGGTGTGGTCACGGCGCGGCCTCAGGGTGGCCACGTCGCCGGCTTTTCGCGGCTGTTCGATCGGCCGCGCGGATGGCCCAGATCAGGCGAGCTGCGGTCGTTTTACGAAAAAACCCTTTAAGTTTTCGGAAATCAACCCGCGCTCCAGACGTTCTCTCAGAATTTTTTTACAAAAAACGTCTCGTATTATTTTCAAATCAATGCTCAGTCCAGACCGGATGGGCACTGGTTTGTTTGCAAAAAAGACTTCCACTTTATCGAAAATCAACTTGCGCTCCTTAGACACTCTCACCGTTTTTTGCGAAAATGTCCTCAGATTTTTCTCAAATCAAAATACAACCCAACTTTGATTATATCTTTTTTTTCTCCAAAAAATACGTGTGGCCAGTTGACCGTGCGCATGGGCACGCCCGAAAAACTAGTATATATGAGAATATGAGATATTTTCGATACTGTGCCTGCATCCTGAAGGTGAGCTCGATATATGTTCCCATACGGCCATACCCTAGCCCCAGTGGATTGTTGAAGCATAATTTCATATTCAGATTAGCGGGAGATGCATGTGTCAATGCCGCCCCATCCTTAATCCAGTAGTAATATCCTTCACAAAGGTGTTGGAATAGTGTTGTTTGAATATCCCTTCAGAGTTTTAGTGAGTATAATGTCTCGGTACCTGATCTGCCCATTTTACCACAACGAGGGAGAGAATATATGCTATTGATATTTATGATATAATGATTGTGTTGATTCTTAATGTCAGTGATAATTGGAACCTACCGAACTATCATGTACGCTCATCGCCTCATTTTTAAATTCTGAAATACTACTGAAGAACAGTTGTTCATATTGCTTAAATTTGCTGTTATAGTTATGTCCATTCTCAATTTCTAATGGTTTTGCTGCTTTCGGGTGGTAGAGAAATGACCAGACCTGAACTCGGAATTTCAGGTACCTGAGATATCAGGTACTATAATTTTTTAAGACAAATTTCCGGTGTCAGCTTTGGTAACCCACATTTATGCAAACCCGAATCACCTAAGCCAAACTTTTTGGATAACCCGAATGCTCACCCGTACTTCTAGCCATTGTTGGATTGATCATTGATCTAGCATGGCACTGTGAAGCTGTGTTGCCTACTCCGTTAAATTTAGTTTACCAAAAATCTAAAATTCTAAAATTGAGTCATCTAGCTGCTCCAGCCTGGAGAAGCGGAGACGCCAAAGAAGTAAAAGCTTTGGCGTGGATGGAAGGCCTGATTTTTGCTGTGGGTTGGTGTAGATAGTGTGTCATTCTTGAGACGGATTGCATTATAACGGATGCTATCACATGACAATGGCCTAAGGTCCTCGGCTAAGGAAAAAAATGAAGATTATTTTATTTCTCATGGCCCTACTCGGTAGAGTGTTTAGATAAACCAAACATTTGAGCATTTATTTGCTATCCTAGCACCTCACGTGGTAAACTTTGCACCTCTTCACAACAATATACACTACTAATGATCAGCGTTTGTGTCTAGGGGCGTTAGAAATTGTAAGCAGGATTCCAGGCTTGGTACACGATGGAGCTTGAGGTTCTGGGAAGCACTGCATTAGTTGGAGTGCTTCCCTTTTGCACCTTGTGCTACAATTTTTTTTAAAAAAACAATGATGTACCATCAACAATTTGGCCGTTGAAGTTTAGTCATGAGAAGTTTGGTAGTAGAGCAGACGCAGTGGCAGTCATCGAAGCCCAAAAACTTTGGGTGCAATGTGCAAGCTTCGTCGCACGATGCTCCAGATGCACGTGATTTTTCTGTTGGCCTCAGTCCTCAGGTGAAACATTTTTTAGTAACTGAGCAAAGATGACTGAAGGAGCAAAGATTACAAAGCGAGATGGTTTTTGCAACTTTCCCAGAGGAAGAGCATGGATATTCCTCCCTTTTTAGCTGATCATCATGAGGCAAAATTGTATCAACAAAAAGGAAAACGAAACTCTCAATTTCTTGTCCCTCGCTAACCACGCCTTTGTATCATCAGGAGTTTAGCTAGCACTCGCCAGAGCTGGGGACGAATGACGGGTTCTTTCTGAGATTGATGTATGTATATATACACATGTTAGATGGGTAAGATTGATGCTATGTTCCTACAAAGGAAACCACCCAGAGCAGGCAGCCAGTTACTGAGTTACAGCATGCATTTCCAAGGCTCAACATTCCAGGCACAATGGAGCATCCCTAAAGTCCTCGGTGCTCCAAAGTCCAAACCGGGGATCCCTGGCAGGACATGCAGAATTAATTAAAATCATCGGAAAATGGTCACAGAACTTGGAAATATAGCTCACCGCTTAGATGAAAACTTTCTACTTCAACGCATAAAGCTTCCCTTTTACTAATAACAAATACTATATATGCCAATGGAGCTCTTAAGCAGATTTTCATGACCTTCCTGTTCTACAAGGGTTCATATGTAAAATGCTAAAATTTCAACAAAGTTTCAGTCACTCCACTATCTGAAGAAGCAATGGCTAGTATATTAACTTGCAAGACAAACATGATTTATCTATCATCTCAACATGGCATATACAGAAGATCTCAAGAGAAAGAAACCTGAAATGGCAAACCCTGGACCCTAAGTCCAATTGCTATGATGTCCGTCTGCCGTTCACTTGGTCATCCTTACATTTATACAATGTGTCAGTATGTATGCCAATCACTAAAGTTTAATGACTTGCCTCAGTCAGCCCTAAAACATAATGAAGAAACTGCAAAGTTCATTCACCTGATACATGCCATTAGGAAACACCCATTGAACCCTAGAGTGCTCTGCTGCTGATGTAGATTGGCCAAACTGCCCAATTTGGAGAAACTATTTTAAGTCTTTTCCTTTGGTGCGCATATTTTATTCAAGAAAAATCGCAATTGGAAGTGCAACATTGCAAAGACCAAACCTGCAAAGTGTTTCCTGCATTTAGCTGGTTACCAAAATGGTGCGAGGGGCCAGATTGCACCCCATAACGGCTATCAAATGACAGCTCACTTGGATGGACTTCCTCCTGTAAGATGCACAATTAAAAGTAAATATACTATCAAGAATCTCATTTTTATGATACAGGATTGGCAACCAATTATGAAGAAAATGATTACCATGAGATCAACAATGCCATGTGTCCGGACATGAGTACCAAGGTTTGAGGTAGTTGAAGCAGAATGAAAAGCACCCTTCTGAGTTACATCTGAGGATACTAGTAAGGACTCCTGCCACACGACAAAATAAAAAATCGGTTAGCACCAACAACAAAATGATGCAAAGCGTGCACGCAATACAAGTAAGGAAACACCTTATTCCCATACTGGTTTACCATGGAATCCACGTTTATCTCTTTATTCTTTTTAGGAGGACGGCCTCGCCGCTTTTTCGCTGGACCGCCCTCAGATGAACCAGGTTGTGTATGGTTGTCACCATTCACAATTGCACGCTCAGCTGGTGTAAGTTTCTGCTCCAAATCACGGCACAGATTATCATCAAGAAGGGTTTCTTTCATGTCTTTAAGAAGCCTAACTGCATGCCTATACTTCTCGTCTGATGTCATCCCAATCTCAACGAGACGAAGAAACTGCAAAGAAATGTAATCATAACGCTCGACGTGATTACTTGTTGCTAAATCCTTTGGTGGATTATCTGGGTAGTGCAACTGCTTGAAGTCAGCCCGCCACCTGTAAAGCACATAACACGGGGGGATGTCGTATACTTGCTGCCATTTAAGCACAGATAATGCATGCCGACAAACGATACCACTAAACTGAAATAGGCCACAGTTACACTCCATCCTGTTTGTCCCCATACAGTGAACAACCTCATACTTTTTATTCAGCATTTCACTCCCTGCTTCAGTCAAATCAATAACTATAAAAGAAGATGCTGACCCATCCAGCTGAACCTGACAATGCATGGTTGCTTTTAGCTCATCCTGGAACTTCATAAACATATTCAAGGTGTACAATCTGGATAGCTGTTCTTCCATTTGGTACTTTGATATCAGGACCCTGCTGCTATTTAATGAATCAAAATCATCTTGTTGCTCCATTTTGTATCTGTTATCCAAAAGTGTCATGTAGCTGGCAAGGAACGTCACCAATGTGGTCTCTGAACTGAGTGCATCCTCAAAAAATGTACTTGGACTTTCACGCTGGCTAACGGTACAGAGCCCAGCCCAGAAGGTGTCCTTGAGGAAGGCAGGGGCCCACAAGTGCCGATTCTCATACAGAAAGGCGATCCATGCATTATCCTGAAGGCCAAATCTATCAACCCAGTTCTTCCACCTTGCCTCAAACTCACTGTCGATCGAAGAATCATATATTGCGGTGACCAAATCGGTTCTCATCGCTTCATATTCTGGCAAGTCACCTATTTTCTCTGAAATACTTCTCACTACATGCCAATCACTTATTCTATGGCGTGTCTTTGGAAACACTTCTCGAACTGCGGCTTTTATCGCCACACATTCATCAGTAACTATGGCATTTGGAGGCCGTTCCTTCATACAAGTTAACCATGACCTGAACAGCCACAAGAAGCTCTCTGTACTCTCATCTGACAGCAATCCACAGCCTAACAATACAAGCTGACCATGATGATTAACACCCAGAAATGAAACGAGTGGGACTTGATACTTGTTCCTTAAGCATGTCGTATCAATCCAAACAGCATCGCTGAAATACTGATACGCTGCCCTGGATCTGGAATCAGCCCAGAGAACACTCCTCAGATGGCCCTCCACATATAAGTCCATGACATAGAAGGAGTTTGGCAGCTTTGCCTGCATCTCGGCGAAGAAACTGTTGATGGCCACGACATCAGCTTCCCCGATCTTAAGCCGCCCCCACTCATCAAATATCGGGACATCGATGTCACCGGCCGCCGAGCATTCTCCTCTGGCAGCCCTCACCACGAGATCTTTGCTCAGCCCGCTAGGCAGCGTCTTGTAGCACCTGAGGAAGCGCGCGGCGGACGGGTTGAGCGCGTGGTTGTGCTCGAGGTTCACATCCGTGAGGTGCAGCAAGTTGTCCACCCAGAGCCTGGCGACGACGGTGGCCTGGCAGTTGGTCTTGGCGGTGGGCCTGGCCTGGTAGCAGGCGTCCTCCTTGCCGGTGCCCCACTTGTTGCAGACGAGGACGAGGCGGCGGCAGAGGCCGGCCTTGGTGAAGGAGGACTTCTTGACGCAGACGCCGAAGCCCGTGCGCAGGGCGTAGCGCTTGTAGAAGTTGAGCACCTCCTCGTACGACTTGAACACCATCCCGTCCCGCGGCGTGCGGTCGTCCCCGTACTGCGCCGCCAGTGACAACGACGACGACGCGGCGGCGGTGGCGGCCGCCGTGGCCTCGACACCGGCGCCGCCGACGCCGACGCCGTCGTCAAGCTCGACGGTCTCCGCCGCGGCCGCCGCCTCGACCATGGCGGCCAGGTCCTTGCTGGCGGGGGAGATGTCCCCCGCGTCGTCGTCGTCGTCCTGGTTGCCCCCGAAGTCCAGCTCCTCCCCCGGGTTCAAACCCACCTCCATCATGGTTGCCCCCTGCTAATCCACGACCCAATCAGAGGCGGAATCACGCGAACGAACTCTTTGGGGGGACAACAGAATCCAGTCATCGCCAGTGATTCAAACGAGCTAGGGTTGCTTACCGACGAGAGAAGTAGTCAATCCGAGTCCGGCTGGAGGGCGAAGGAAGAGGAGGACACCGAGAGAGTAATGGCGATTGCTTCGTGGTGGCCGGAGGTGTGAGTGCTTCGTTGAGACGAACGGGCCAGGCCCCAGAGTCCAGAGAGCGCCGCCGCAGGCGAAGTGGGGAAGAAGAGAAGTTTGGGCTACTACTACTAGTCTACTAGGGGTCAAGAAGGGCCAAAGCCCAAAGAGGCGCCGTGATAATTTTGTTAATGTCTGAGGTTGTTTCCGCACAAAATGGTGCGGGAACGCCGGGAGGAAGGGAAAAAGTGAAAAAATTACGGGGACTTCACGTTTTGCGGCAATAATACATTCACGTTAATTTTAAGGAAAAAGAAGGGCAGGAATGATTAATTAGACCGTTATAACTCCAACGCTGGATGTTGTACAACTCATCAGCTCATATAACAATGAAAAAAAAAATCTCGTAACAAAAATGTCCTCCAGCTTCAGTCCAAAGAACCAATAGCTAATCCAGCCCTAAAATTGGTTTATCGTGTGCCATTTTATCACAGTATGCCAATAAAGCATACATTTGGTGATGAATTATAAACTGACATGACCTATCTAAACTGTAAACACCATAAAATGGGTCCACAGATGATCTTCCAGTTACATATTTACATGAACTTACTGGCATCTCATGTTTTTGACAAAATACATCAAAATTGTTCGTAACATAAGGACAAATATGGTTTCCTCAATGTGTACAAAATGCTGAACAGCCTGAGTAATGGAACTGTCACGCTGAACCATCGCTGTGGTCTATACTCTATAGCCAGGGTACAACAGCCTCACTGGAAAATTGAATTCCCGCTCAGTATCAACACTCATAGCTTTAAGCCCTTGGCTTAAGCCAGGGTGATGCTTTGCTCGTTGTTTATGTGGAACTTACACAGACGAGAATATACAAATGAACTGGATCGATCCAAACTTCCAAAGCATGTGCTGCCTATTCTGTTCACATCCTTTTTTAGTTTAAGCCATATTTGTAAAAGGCAACCTGAGGTATCCATCTAGACTGATCCAAAATCTGATCATGTTTTGCTCCTTCGTGCTCAGCGCTTGCCTTCTGCTAAATGCCCATCTGAATCAAACAGCTCTCTGCGCTAGTTGCAGCTGCTTGTTCTTCCTTAGGTGTGGTCACTGGTCAGGAGCTCGCTCTCATGTTAACTGTGATTTGATGAAGTTCAATCTTTCTCGGATATAACAACAAAAACATCCTTGGGTGACCACCTTCGCCTTGAAACTTTGTGTGTTGGATTGATTATGGCACGCTCAGCTGCCTCAAGACGGTACCCAATGACAATCTCTTTCCTCTGTCTAGCTCGCAGAATGACCTCAAAGAAATTTAACTCCTCTTCTTCTCTAAGGTAAAGATCGGAAGGTCGTATTTGCATTTCATTTCCCTGTAAAGGGTGCAGTTGCAAACCCAGATATTAATCAGACAGAAACATTACAAGACACATGATTCAAAAATCAAGCTGCTGGCTTAGAAATATACTCTGGCAAACTAAAACATGAGAAGAATCATAATTCTAATAAAGAACAAAGCGGAAAAAGTGAACTTGAACAAAACTGTCTAATTGTAGTAGTCCAAAGACTTCAGTCTACAGATGAGATTTGATAGGTAAAGTTAACCTAGTATACAATATCCGTATCAAATATAAAGCTCTAATGTTGGAGCTTAGGGACCGGAGGGAGTAGGAGTGGGAGACGAGAGGCCTGGGCTTGAAACCCCGGCGACGAACTAGCGGCGCCGTGCTCGGCGCCTGGCTGGAAGCTTGATGACAATAGGAGATCGTGAACAGTAACGCCCGAGGGCCAAAGGTGAGATAAACTCAATCTCAGGCTATCTTTATTCCTTTAGATTGTTTGATACTTATAACAACTCAATAACAAACATTTCCTAAATCTAAGGGCTGACAGCCCTGACTCAACAAACTCCAAACCAACTAGGACTCTTAATAACTAACTCCTATAGACCCGGCTGGGGCCCAAACCGGCTCCCACGCCTTGCCCTGGTGGCTGGCCGCACCCTAGTGCCTGGCCCGGCCCCTACTCCCTTAGCCACTTTTCTTGTTACGGCGATGGTACACCTTTCCCACCATAACATCACTCCCCCCCTCGACGAACAGCTCGTCCTCGAGCTGGAAGGCAGGGAACTCAGCGCGGAATTTGTCCAGCTGCTCCCAAGTGGCTTCATCTTCCGGCAGCGTCGCCCACTGGATCAAGACATGCCAAGTGCCCCGCCGAAGCTGGGCACGCAGAGCCCGTGCCGGTTGCTGAAGGCGACGGCCGTGGCGCAGCGGAGGAAGGGCCGGAGGCGTTGCTGGAGGAGTCCCCCGGAACGGCTTGAGGACGCCCACATGAAAGACGTTGTGGATGCGCGCTCCTTCGAGCAACAGCAGCCGGTACGCGACGTCGCCAATGCGCTCGGTCACCTGGAAGGGGCCTGCGAACCGTGGGCTGAGCTTGCCCTGCGGCCCCGGCAGCAGCGACTGCACCGGTCGATGAAGGATGCGGAGCCACACCCAATCGCCCACTGCAAACTCCAAGGGGCGATGGTGGCCATCGTAGTATCGCTTGGCATATTCCTGGGCCTGGAGAAGGCGTTCGCGCACCTCAGCCAGGAAGGCGTCACGATCCTGGAGAAGCGCGTCGATGGTGTCGGTGCGCGCTGTACCTGCAGTATAGGGAATCAAGGCAGGCGGCGGCCGGCCATACACAACCTGAAATGGCGAAGTCCGTAAGGCAGTGTGGTATGACGTGTTGTAGCAGTACTCTGCCCATGGCAGCCACTCCAACCACGCCCGGGGACGGTCGCCGGTGATGCAGCGCAAATACATGGCAATGGTCTTGTTGACTGCTTCGGATTGGCCATCAGTTTGCGGGTGGAACGCCGTACTGAGGCGGAGCTTGACCCCCGCCAACTTGAATAGATCCCGCCACACATTGCCCGTGAACACGGGGTCCCTGTCGCTGACAATGGAGTTGGGGAACCCGTGCAGGCGAACAATGGCCTCGAAGAATGCCTTGGCGACCGAAGCCGCGGTGTACGGATGACTGAGCGCAATGAAGTGCGCATGCTTGGAGAAGCGATCGACCACCGTTAAGATGACGCTCTTGCCATTAACACGCGGCAGTCCTTCGATGAAGTCGAGCGAGATGTCGGACCACACTTGTGATGGCACCTCCAAGGGCTGCAGCAGCCCTGCCGGCCGAAGGGAGTCCACCTTGTTCTTCTGGCAGATGGCGCAGGCGTGCACATAGTCACACACGTGTGCGCGATCGCCCTCGACGTAGAACTGGGCACGCAGGCGATGGAGGGTCTTCTGAACGCCCTCATGCCCAACCGAGTGGGCCAGCTCCAGCACTGTGGGCAGCAGCGCCGACTGCACCGACACGAAGATGCGGGTGCCGTGAAGGATGAGGCCATCCACAACACGCCAAGGGGCGCCACGGTCAGCGGCTATGGAGTCCCGCAGCGCGCGCAGAGCTGTGTCCTTGTCGAGCTCGCGGCGGAGGTTGTCGAAGAGGTCGAAGGATGGTCCTGACAGGGCGTGCAGCTGATCAGCAGCCTCGTCACGCCGGGACAGCGCGTCCGCCACCACGTTCAGGCGGCCCGGCCGAAATTCGACGGCGAAGTCGTAGCCGAACAGCTTGGAGACCCACTGGTGTTGAGGCAGGGTGGAGAGGCGCTGGTCGAGGAGAAACTTGAGCGCATAGTGATCTGTGCGCACGACGAAGCGACGCCCCCAAAGATATGGCCTCCATTGTCGAACAGCTTGTACCAATCCAATGAGCTCCCGCTCATACGCCGCGAGCTTCATGTGCCGTGGCGAGAACGGCCTGCTGAAGAATGCTATAGCGCCCGTGCCCTGGTGCAGCACAGCGCCGAAGCCCGATCCAGACGCATCGCAATCCACCGTGAAGGGTACCCCGAAGTCCGGCAACTGGAGAACCGGTGCTGCAGCCAGCGCTTGTTTCAACGCCGTGAACGCCGCTGCTGCCGCCTCCGACCAGAGAAAGGCGTCCTTGCGCAGGAGCTGCGTGAGAGGCGCAGCGATGGCGCCGAAATCCTTGATGAAGCGGCGGTAGTAGCCCGCCAACCCGAGGAAGCCACGGAGACCCTGCGCTGAACATGGCTGAGGCCACGACGTCACTGCCTCCACCTTGGAGTGGTCCATGGCCACCCCACCAGCGGAGATGATGTGGCCCAGGTACGCGACGAAGGACGCGGCGAACGAACACTTGCTGCGCTTGACGCGCAACTGCTGTTCCCGCAACACTGTGAGGACGGCCTTGACATGTTAGAGATGCGCCGTCCACGAAGGGCTGTAGATTAGAATGTCATCGAAGAAAACCAATACAAACTTACGGAGGTACAGCTGAAGGACCGTGTTCATGAGGCTCTGGAATGTGGCCGGCGCGTTGGTCAGGCCGAACGGCATGACCAAAAACTCGAAGTGGCCATGATGTGTGCGGAAGGCCGTCTTCTCAATGTCATCCGCATGCATCCAGACTTGATGGTAGTAGCCCGAACGGAGATCCAATTTGGTGAAGAATTTGGCGCCTTTGAGTTCATCCAGGAGCTCCTCTACCACTGGAATGGGGAACTTGTCCTTAATTGTGTGGTCGTTGAGGGCGCGATAATCCACAAAAAAGCGTCAGGAGGCGTCCGGCTTCTTGACCAGCAGCACCGGCGCTGAAAATGGCGACGTACTTGGCCGGATTATGCCCTGGGACAGCATAGCCGCACACTGTGACTCGAGTTCGTTCTTCTTTCTGTAGCTGTGGATATCTGTAGGGCCGGACTGCCACCGGCGCTGTGTTGGGCTGGAGGTGTATGCGGTGATCACACGAACGGACCGGCGACAAGCCCTGGGGCTCAGCGAAGAGGTCCGCGAAAGACTGCAGCAAACGTTCCATCAGAGCCGGCCCATCTTGACGCAGTGTATGGAGGCGCTGAGTTGATTGAACATCGCACCGTGTCGAGCCGATGCTGCGCCAGAACACGTGGCGGCCCTTGCGTGAGAACGCCATACACAAATCATCGAAGTCCCAGAGGATGGGTCCCAATGTCCTCAGGAAGGTGATGTCGAGGACCATGTCGTAGCCGTCAATCGGGATCGAGTAGCAGTCGATGGAGAAGTGTTTGTCGGCGATGCGAATGGCGACGTCCTTTGCGAGGCCGCGGCAGGCCACACGGTCCCCGTTGGCGACTATGACCCTGGCGCCCGGGCAGGGATGGAACTGAAGGCCAACGCGTCGGGCGACGTCGCCACGCACAAAATTATGCGTGGACCCCGAATCCAAGAGCGCGACAAACTGCTCATTGCCCATCTGGATATAGAGCTACATGGTGTCCTCAGTCCGAATGCCCGTAATTGCGTTGAGCGAGATCATGGGGGTATCGGGGTCGAAGGACGGCTGGCTCGCTGCTGCAGGTGCCGCTGGCTCCTCATCGACGTCATCTAGTTCCTCGACGATGTAGTCCGATGCCTCCAGATAAAAAAGTCGGGCGCACTTGTGGCCGCGGACGTACTGCTCATCGCAGTTGTAGCAGAGGCCCTTTTGCGACGTTCAGCCATCTCCTCAGGTGACAGCCGCTTGAATGGCCTGGTGGTGACTGCTGGCGCTGATGAAGCTGGCCCCGAACTCCCTTGGGAACCCGCCGACCTTGATGAAGTCCGGTGCCGTCCCGCGATTGCGGCAAAGCCGAAGCGCCCGACGGTCTTTGGCGAGGCGGCGGTGCGAGCATATTCCGCGCCTTCGTGCTTGCGCGTGTTAAAGCGCATGGCCCGCTGGAGATCTTGCGGGTCGTGGAGCTCGACGTCGACGCGGATGTGGTCCGGAAGGCCCCCGGTGAATAGCTGAGCCTGCTGATGCGGCGAGAGGCGACCGGCGTGCGCCATCCGCGCCTGAAACGCATCCAGGTACGCATCAACCGATGATGTGAAGGGTAGGCGTGCCAGGTCCGCCAAGTGATTGGTACTGAGCGGGGGTCCGAAGCGTTGATGGCACAGTCGCTTGAACTCTTCCCAATCGGGCTGGCCGGCGTCGCGTTCCAGGATTGTGTACCACATCTGGGCTGTGCCGGTGAGGTGGTAGGACGCAAGCCAGACCCAATCCGCGTGCCGAGTTTGCTGGCCGCGGAAAAACTGCTCACACTTGAGCAACCAGCCAAGCGGATCCTCCTTGCCGTCGTAGGTGGGGAAGGACGACTTTATGGTGCGGGGACGGCAGAGACCCTCCGGCTCCGTGATGTAGATGAAAGCGATGGCGGCGGCGTGTGCATCGCGTTCGAAGGTGGCGGTGCAGCGATCCCAGCTCCTTGCATGATGGATGACAGGGAAGGCACGGGCGACGGCGAGTGTGGAAAAGGAATCTGGGTGATGGGAAGCCCCGCAGATGGCGGTTGCGGCGGCAGGGACAGGGCACCGGCGATGGCGACTCCCGTGGTCGGCACTGGTGGTGCGGAGAACGGGAGCTCCAAGATGGCGGCCCCGGCGGCGGGCAAGCCGGGATGCCGCTGCGTAATTCTGGCAAAGCCCGTCTTCGAAGACCGGTGGCCCCGAAGACGAGGGCTGGCGCTCCACCGCTGCAAGACGCAAGGAGATGTCCCCCATCTGGTGTTGCAGCGCATAGATGGCCGTCGTCAAGGCGTTGAAAGCCTCGGCGAGGGATGCTGGGGCTGTGGGTGGTGGGCTGAGCAGCGACGCGGTGGTGGCCACAATTGGCGCGGAGGTGGTGAACACAGGGAGGGCGGGGGTGGTGGAGGCGACGGTGGCAGCGGCGGTGGTTGGAGCGACAATGGCGGACAACCCAGACTGGACATGGTCGATACCAGTTGTTGGAGCTTAGGGACCGGAGGGAGTAGGAGTGGGAGCGAGAGGCTGGGCTTGAAACCCCGGCTGACGCTGGCGGCGCTGTGTTCTCAAGACTGGCTGGAAGCTTGATGACAATAGGAGATCGTGAACAGTAACGCCTGAGGGCCAAAGGTGAGATAAACTCAATCTCGGGCTATCTTTATTCCTTTAGATTGTTTGATACTTATAACAACTCAATAACAAACCTTTCCTAAATCTATGGGCTGACAGCCCCGACTCAACAAACTCCAAACCAACTAGGACTCTTAATAACTAACTCCTATAGACCCATTTGGGGCCCAAACTGCTCCCACGCCTTGCCACAGTGGCTGGTCCGCACCCTAGTGCCTGGCCCGGCCCCTACTCCCTTAGCCACTTTTCTTGTTACGGCGGTGGTACACCTTTCCCACCATAACATCTAATAATTCAGTTAACTTACTAGGCATTAGATCCATCTACTGTGCAAATTATAAGCTCAATATTATTTGCATATATGTTAGGGATTGAAATATGATAAGGATAGCAGATTGAATGCAGAATAATACTTCTGACTTTTGAGAGGTAAATTTCTAGGCCAGTAAAAAGTGATTTGACCATGCAACCATCAACTTCAAGAATTGTACCTGTTCGGCGAAGAGCTCCTCCAAGACATTATTTATCTGTCGATCCTCTGCGACCATTGCCAATGCCATGCTCACTAGTTCATTTGAAAGAACATAGTCACTAATTTTTGACATTGACAACAAATTTTTTGTCCTGGGGTCCAAAATTTCACTGATTATGACAGATTTGTCAGATGCTTGTTGCATCTCCCCTATCCAAGAACCTTCAGAAAAGGTCCCTCGGGAAACATGTGAAACCAATGATTCCTTGTATGGAAGACGTTTTGCCTGCAGTAATTAAGAAATGAGAAATCTTCAGTTCTTGTGAAGAGTTTAGTATAACATTAGGAAAGAAAGACAGCATGGAATATATTTATCAAAAAAACATGATCGAAGATGATTGCATGTGACCCGAAGATGATATCAATAACAAGAAAACCATAAATAATTTAACCATTCTCTGTTCTAGAAAGAAACCTGAATATCTCTGATCAGCAGTAACGTTGCAAGTGACCTCGAGTCAGCTTGGATTGCTGAATCTTCTACAGATTCATCTGCCAAAATCAGGATCTGCATTTTGCTTTCAAGCATCAACCAACTATAGTCATTGGAATTAGCAGGGTACAATATAATTTCTCAGAACTTACAGAATCGAATGATTCTAAAGGAAGGCTCTCCAGGTGACGGCGAATAACAGCATTTCCTTCACGATGCACCAAAGTAATATTATCGAGGCGACTGAAGTCCAGACCTCCATCAATCAGCTTTCTTTCTCTGTCAACCTCAGGGACATCGTTAAACATCCACAACTCTGATCCTGGCGCAAGGAAAGCATCAAGTACCTAGATTGATATCAACAACCAAGTTTAAAATATGTTCTCAACCAAAACAAATTAAGGCCTTAATACCACCTTCTATCAGCATTGCAGCTGTGATATTAATTAAACATAATCAAATTCATAACAGGAAGAAATACTATATATTTAGAAGTATTGGCACAGGTAAGTTCTGCCTCCAAATCCTTTTGCTACAAATGTCTCCATCACATGCAAATGAACTCGATTTGGATCCGTCGTCAAGTTACCATTATCATATCTTCTATATCACGGCGCCAACCACAAAACAATATTCTTTCTGGAGACTTTGGAACAACAAAATCTTTAGGCAGATACCCTCTCCTAACCTGCACAATTTAACAGAAGAAAAGGAATTAGGAGCTTCAAAGAAAGAACTTACCGCAATCATATCATCTATATCCCGTCGCCATCCACAAAGAAGAATCTTCTGAGGCTTTCTTTCAGCATGAACAATGTCTATGTAAACAGCCTCTTTAACCTGAATGATAAGATTGACTTTGCTTATGGGATGTTACACATATGTGCAGTGTCTGTGTCTATTCTAGTTTTATGGTTTCAAGAAGTGATAACAAGCATTAGACTGTTGTCTGTAAAACATAAACAGCAAAAGGTGGCTGCACCAACGGTACTCGATGATCAAAATGGGAAGGGAATGGATAAATTGCAAGTCACGACACCAAGGAAATAATGCTTCATTTTAGCAGAAGCTACAGTTCAATCTGCTGCTTTGTGCTGACTGCTGTTATTAAGCATACAATCCTACTGATCATACTAGGGAAGGAAGTAATTCCAGAAGGTGCTCAAAGAGGTTGGTTCGAACCCAGGACCTCCTGAACACTAGTGAAGAGACTCTTACACTGTGGAATAGATCTAAATGCCAAAGCTCCCAACTATGGGTTTGGGCCTTTGGGGTAAGGGAATTTCTAAAATAGCCTTACCCTCGCAAAATTTGCAAAGAGGCTGGTTCAGGACCTCCTGAACACTAGTGAAGAGAGTCTACCACTATGGAATTGATCTAAAAAAAATATTAAATAGTCTATGTGCAATGACTGAGATACCAATTGTCAACAAAATATTAAAAAAATTATAAATAGTTAAAAACGCTCACAAATGTAAGTATACTCTACTCTCAAAAACCGTTGATGCAGTAAGTTTCAAAGATAAGAATAGATGAATGGAAGAGTTTAGATATATAATTGACAGATTATATAACAGAACCTGGAGGCAGACCATTTCAATGGCAATACAGTATAGTTTGTGGAATGCAACAAGTAGACTAATAGCTACCAACAGTCCAACACTGCCACGAAAAACTTGCAAAATTCTAAAGATCACAGGATTTAATATCAATACTGAAATTACAGTCATTACGCTGAAAAATATCGAACCAACTACTTGCAGATTACAATAATAGAAAAAAGAACATTACATCTAATAAAAGAATTACCTTGGGCAATGGTGCTGGGGCATATGTATCATCATCCTCTGCAATTACTATCACCTCATCACCCTCTTGCAAAACATAACAATCATCAGGGTTTAAAATAATCTTGCCCCCATAAGATGCCACTTTTATGCCACATGGAACAGCATCAGGAAAGCTAATCAGCACATCTTCAAATCGCATTCCATCCAACTTAGGCCATCTCTTAATGTAGAATTCACAGTTCTCAAAACCAAGAATGTCTTCCCATATCTGTGTATTAAACTCAAATGATCTTTCAAATAGTATTAAGAAATTATTAACTACAAAGACTATATGTAAATTCTTGAGCTATCACTAGCATTCGATCAGACAGATAATCATACTAAGAATTCTATAGATGTAGGTACGACTAAAATCTACAGCCACTAGTTTAGTTTCACAAAAATCTGTGGTTCTAAGCTAAAGAAAATAAGTATAGAGAAAAGAGGAATTGGAAAAAAAAAAGTTTGCACGAAGGATATCAAAACTGTGAATGGCAATAGATAGCCTATATAGCAGCTCATGCGGTCATGTATGTCCGGAAATCTTGAATGAAAGATTATAAGTTAAGCATATAAAATGTTTCTATGGCACGTGTACCTTTTTGAACTTAGTAAACAGACTTTACTAAATGATCTTCTAGATGCACATGAGTATTTTGCAACAGAACAATAACTAGAATCCAACAGAATGCCCAAAAGAAGTTCCTTTTAATGAGTTTAATGTCACAAGCACAACCAGATGGTCAGATTTCCATCTACTAAGCTTAGTGGGTTGATTTTGTGCTGGTGCAAACACAGAAGGATGTGGATATCCAGTAAGGATTCTTATCTAAACAAAGTGACAGCGTTTAGTATTCATTGTTGGTTAGAAGGAAACCTGAGCAAGGCCTGGCTGACGTGCACACTGTATCATCAATCGTCCAATAACATCATGCGCGACAACCGTTTCCACAAGATCTCCACCAACAAGTTTGACTAGAACTTCATTGTCGAGATCACTAAGCTCAACTACTATGTGACCACTTAGTCCCTCTTTAACTCCAGTCAAACTCAAGACTGTTCGCAGTGCCCGTGCATCACTCTGCAAAAAGGGTGCAATGATGTACGGAAGAGCTTTCAAGAACAGCATAGCTTGATCAGAGAAGCTTACCTGGTCAGCGTTTCCTTCTTCGGCAAGAACAACAATTGCTCGTGCCTTTGAAACTGAGACCTTGTGCATGAAGGTATATTTAGTTGAAAAATAGCACATATAGAAAGAAGTGAAGTGGTATCCAGGAACTAACTAACATGTATATTACAATCATCCTATCACTGTCAACAGACCATAATTTCATATTAACAATCAAGGATGCCAGAAGATCAAATTTCAAAACTGAGAAAAAGTATGTCTAAATGTATGTATTTACCTTTTTCAAGTCAGCGAGTATCAGAGGGCTTCCACTTCTACATATTACAGCTGTTCCTTTCAAGTCAAACTCCATTTTAGCAATGTCTGCTTCCATTTCCTCTTTGTCTCTCTCAGCCATCACTACAATGGTCCCACCTCCCAAGCTTTCATTAGCAATGGCAATTTGGTTCAGTAAAGATCCCTATTGCCACCAAATGAAAGGGATTACACCATAAAATATGGAGAAATGCAACCTTTTGTTCTTACAACAAGATGACGTGTAACAAAGCAGTTATGTAAGTTAGCTTCAGGGAACCAAAGTTGCCAAAAGTGTGCATCAAAATTATCTCGGAATATGCACGATACTATGACAAATACTATATAGTTTTGCCATTATAGGAATAACTGTGAAACAATCTTATAGGGCTCTTAATAAACAAATTAGTGAGTAGTACAACATTCCAAGAATTAGAACAAAGAGAACAGCAATACATCTAACATACACAGAAAAATTGAACGAAAACATTAACAAAGGTTCATTCAAAGATTACCAGCTTATCGCTCCATCCAAGAATTAGAGTGTGGCTCTGCTCTATGACTTCACTTCTTCCTTTCCTCAAAGAATCAAACTTCTCAGAGATTGAATCAGTGACAAGACCAAGCATCATAGCAAAAACCAACATCCCACCAATACTAATTGAAACCGAAACCAGCTTGGGTCCAAAACCCTCAGCATTGGCATGGTTCCCCGAGTCAGCAACGAAGGTCCAGGACAGCCAAAGACAATCAGACAAGCTATCATCAGTCACACCATACAGAGCCAGCCCGCCAAGAGCAATTAGTAACAACGTAGCAACAAGCAGGACCAACGGTTTAGCATACGGATGAAGTGACAAAAATATATCGACTCTGTATGCGAACCGCTTGTTTATGGGAACTTCTTGAGTCACGTGAGCTCCTTATCTTTGACACAAGGTCCACGTACTTGAGAATGAGGAGTGGTGCGTATAGTACCGAAAGCGAGATAAGCAGGGAAAGGTTCTTAAGGCTTCTGTTCTGCGTGGTACTGTTAGCATCCTGATAAAACAGATTAATGCTGCTCGTATCCAGTGAGGGGTCTACAATGCATGCCTGAAGTTTTGCAGTAGCTACAGCCAGCTGCTCCTGAAACAATCACAATGAAACAGGGTATAAGATCAATCAAAGGAATGTACAAGTGTTTCACGAATTCACGTAGTGCAAGGTAACTAAGCGTGGTCCCGTACCTGCAGATGGTAAACCTGATCGTGCAACGAGAAGTTCCTGCGGAGAAGGGAGGCCAGGCACAGTAAAATAACCTGAGGCGAACAGATTCCACGATTAAACAACCCGAGTCAACAAAAGTCAAACACGTAAAACCCCAGCGAGTCCACCCATTTCTCACCGCCGCGGAGAGCACCCCGGACCAACGCGGAGCGATCGCCGACGCCGCGAGCTTCCTCCCGTGCACCGGCGCGGACGTCGGGGGCGCCGCTTGCTCGGAGGCAGCCGTACGGACATCCTCGCGGCGGACGCCGGCGTACCGGGGGTCACGGCGGCGCGGCGCGGACGGAGGAATCGACGGCGGCAGCGGCAGCTGCTGCTGCTGCTCCGGCGGTGGGTGCGGAGAGCGGGAGCGGGAGCGTGGGGTAGGAGGCGGGTGGCGGTCGGCGAGGGAGTAGGCTGAGTAGGGATTGGAGGAGCGGTAGGTGGAGGGGAAGGGCGTCCTGGGGGTCCGCGTCCTGGAGGAGGCCAGGAACGGCGGCGCCGGCGGGAAGAACCAGTCCCGGTGCGGCGGCGCCGGCGCCGGCGACGAGGAGTCGGGGTCCAGGGGCATTTTGGGGAATTCCCGGGGGCGTTGGCACCACTGCTGATGTATGGGGACTGCGGAGAGAGAAAGAGAGAGAGAGAGAGAGAGGGACAGGAATGTGAATGTCTGCGTTTGTTCGCGCGTGGCTTGCTCGTTGGTTGGTGTCCGTGAAAGAAACCAGGCCGTGTCATTGACTTTTTTTTAGCTCTTTCTTAATCGGAATTCGATAGCTAAAGATGATTTTCGTATGGTTATTCCTTGGGGCAATTATGTATTTAGCACGGGAACAAATCAGTCTTTTTTATTTAGCAATAAAAATTTTAAATTTTCTTATTTGGCATCGAGTTAAAATTTTCTTTTGTAAAATGGCACTTCCGTTCATTTCCGTCGGTTGACTGCGTTGGCCCTGTCATGTTTCTTTCAAAAGTACCAAAATGCCCTTCTCTTCTTCGACGGTGCTTCATTTTAAATGCAGACCTTGTTTGACACCTTGCTTGATCGAAAATCTTTGTGGCGAGAATAATGATGAGGTGGAGTGCCGTGGCGTGATCGTAACAGACCGCAGAAATGGGAGGCTCGACGACCACTTCACGGAATATTTATCCTCGCTGAAGTGGACGGTGCGCGATCGGTGGTAGCGCTGAAGCTAGCGCTGACCACGGACGGCGGCTGCGTCCGACACCTTCTCTTTCTCCTCGGCGACCTCAAGTCCGGGCGCCACGCCCCGCCCGACGCCTCGAAGTGCGCTCGCCGACGTCACCATCGACGCCTCCGCGGCTTGGGGCGCGCGCGTTTCTCCTCGCCATCATGGACGCCGACCGCCGAGCCTCGCCGCTCGCTGTCGTCGTCTACTTCCACGGCGGTTCTCATGGCGGCGATAACGACGGCGTCGCGGCGCGCCCGCTACTCTCGACGCCAACGCGGGTTCTTCCGATGGCGATGTCAACGAACCACCCGAAAGGCCGCGAATCGGGAGGCGCAGAAGATGCCGCCATGAGGCGGAAGAAGTGGCCTTTGCTGCGCGCGCATGCTCCACCGGTGCGAGTGTGCCTCGCAGAGGTGCTCGACGCGACTCGCCGCCGCAATGGCAAGGGTCCATCCGCCCGCCCGGCCGGCGCGATGAAAGCGACCACCTCCCGCCGCAGCGTCTCTCGATGCACGATGCGGATGGGCAAGGCGGTGGTAGTGCATCATCGGCGGAAAAGGTGCGGCCACAGCGTCACGTCTGGAAGCGAGCCCAAGATCGGCGTGCTCGAGAACCGCATGGCGAGCTGGAGCTCGCCCATCTTCTTGATGATGCCGCCGCCGTGGAGGAGATGAGAGGGTATGCAGCGTGCGTGTAGATGCGGCCGGTCTCGGCGTCAACAACCGGATGCGCACCTTGCCGAGGAGGATGTCCTTGACGGGTCGCGGAAACGAGGCCACCCTTCTCGCCTTATCTGGCGGTTGTGGAAGGCGGCAGCGGTGAGCACAGTGCGTTGGTCGTGCACGCCCCGAAGCACTTGTTGCAGGAACCGTGGCGTGAGGTCGTCGATGACGTTTATGTCGCGAAACCACTTTCACGCCGTGATTTTGGCCACACACGAGGGCGAAAGCAGAGCCTCACCCGTCGCGCGTGCGCATGGAGCTTAGGCCGAACGTGTTGTGGATGCCGAGCTCGATGAGGCCAATGGGTGGCCGGTGGCACCACAGCTCCCTCGCCGCCGGGTTCAGAGATGACGCGATGCCGTTGGAGCTCGACGCGACGCCGGTCATGTGGCTCCGGGTGTGGGATGAGTGGCGGCTGTCATCCTGAGCCATGTATCCTTGAAAATATAAGTTTTTTTTAGAAAACTAAAAGATAAATACTTTGAAAATATAAGTTACGTATTTCAACCAGCAGTCATCCTGAGCCATGCATCCTTAATCTGTGGCCGAGATGAAAGGAAGAATGAGGGGCATAATTTATACCTGTTATTACCAATTTGAAATTTATTAATTATTTATTTACAGTCTTCGATTATCAAAAATCCATATTTTAGTTCAAAGTATATTTATGATTTTCTTATTTGACAACATGTCTATTTATTTTTTTTCCTATTTAGCACCATTGACTTTTGCTACAATCAAGGGTATTTATGTCATTTTGCTAGCCATTTGACACCATTACTGGTCTAAATGGACGGCAGTGCCATTTACGAAAGAAAATCCCAACTCGATGCTAGATAAGGAAGTTTAAATTTTCTAGTGCCAAATATGAAAGACCGATTTGTTTTAGTGCCAAATACATAATTCTCTCTTATTCCTTTGATTGATGCCAAAATTTTGGATTGTTTTTTTCTTCTTCTCGAGACTCCGTAGACGCTGCTATTGTCATTCATGATTGGAATAGGCTTGCTCTTTTTAGTTGCTGCTCGAATAAATAAAGTAGTTCAACGATATAATAAGTTCAGACGTATATTTGATATTAGGAGGACCGAGCATCGTGCAGTGAGTAAGCAATCCTCCCTATCATTTTTTCTGTTATACTAAAAAAACGTTCAACCGCTTTCTGGTTGGGAAATTGAGCGGTGGTTTAGTTTATCATGTTATTTAACTTGTTTCAAATACAATAATACATTATAGACGAAATTCATATATGAATATGTATATGACATACTAGATAGTTTTCAAAAGACGAGATAATACTATTTTCTTTCTCGAGTTTTCAAATGGTATCCATATAATCTTTCTATTTATTAGCTTTGTGATATGACTTAAAATTGATTTTTAGATAATGAAACAAAGTTGTAGCCTCTACCATACGGAGATGATACACGGTTGAATGACTTAAAATTGATAAATTAGCCTTTGTAGTTGTCTTACACATAAGGACATGTATAAAGGTTGGTACTTTGGTACGGCGTGGAAGAGGAAAGGAGGAGAAATGAAGTCAGTAGGGCGAGTAAATTGTAAGCTATTTTAATGTGGATAGAGAAGATGTTAGGGTGAAGATGAGCAAAATAGTTTTCCTCTTTCTCCTATAGCTTAACCGAGGGACTAGTAATATTAATAATGCCACAGTGGACATCTAAGATATCTCCACAGATATGTCTCTCAAGCCAAAAAAAAAGACCCATAAAACACCTAACGCGCTACATCCAACCTTGCACATTTAAAACGAACCGAGTAGGAGAGCTGTCGATTATATATTAATAAAGAATAAGATCCAGACTAGATTTACGATAGAAAACAACACACTACAACTAAGACAACTTAGCCAACAACATGCCGCTGACAACATGTGCAAACAATAACTAAGACAACTAAAACAACATCAACCCTACATCCCAATAAGAAGATGCAAGATAACCTCTACCACAAGATCCCATAAGGTACGACTGTTTAATACCATCTTAGGTTTGAGGAGGTTCGGTGGCAACAAATCCTTCAGGCAGCCTACAATGTCTTGTATTGCGTCATCGTCGAGCTTCCCGTCCTTCCCAATGACCTTTCACATCTACACTCATTGCTTACAAAATTATGGTGAAGCATGATTAAGGTAGTGTTTAAATCTAGAGAGTAAAGTTTAGTAGCCTGTTTGGTTGGCTGGTTCGTATCGTTGCTGGTTCGTGAAGAAGTACTGCTGGCTGGTTTGTGTGAGAGAAAAATACTGTTCCGGCTGGAAATTTATGATCGTTTACGACAAGCCACAGCCAAACGAACAGGCTATAGGGGTGTCACATGAGAGTGTTCGGATAGTAATAATAAAATAAATTACAGAAGTCTTCAAGAATCCACGAGACGAATTTATTAAGCCTAATTAACCCGTCACTAGCACATGTTTACTGTAGCACCACCATATCAAATCGTGGACTAATTAGGCTTAAAAAATTCGTCTCGCAAAATAGTCACAATCTGTGCAATTAATTATTTTTTAGTCTATATTTAATACTCTATGCATACGTTAAACATCCGATGTGATAAAGACTAAATTTTAGAGGAAGGAACTGTTCAGGGCCTAATTTACCTAGCCAGCTAGAAACGAAAGACGAGACAACAACTACGTACATCAGAACTTGCCTTAAAAACTACATTTTTCTATTGAACTTTTTTTTAATCACACTCATCACAACATAAAATATTGAAATGTCACGAAGAATTTAGCATTACCTTTCTATCAATCTGCAAAGGAATATTCGCTTCCATCTCTCACGTCCAAAGACTGACCTCATGGCCCCACAAAACCAGAACATTTCCCGCGCCCGAAACTCAGCCCAAAACCAAAAGCGCGGCAAAACGAAGCAAGCAACACACTAGGCACCCCACAAGGAAAAGAAAAGAAAAGAAAAGAAAATCCCCAATCCCGAACCCCTCGCCCGCCACGCCCCTATCCATGGATACGGAGATGGAGGACGCAGGCGCCCAGGCCGAGATCGAGTGGGACGGCGGCGGCGGCGGGGCCGACGCGGTGCTGGGTCTTGCCGGCGGCGGCGCCCTGGTGTCGTTGTGCTACCACCAGGCGTTCGGTCCCCACGACGACCTCGTCCTCCTCGAGGCCGCCGACGACCTGCTCCCTGACCTCCTGCAAGGCCGGTAAGCGCCCTCCGCCCAACCAAGCGAAATACGACGCTTTCCCCCAATTAGACCAAGAACCAGCAGCGCCGTTCTTTCGACTTCGGGGCGTCCGATTTACGTTTTATTAGTATGCCACTATTATTTATGAGATATATATACGACCGATCTCGCATAATCTCATTTTCTATACTTGGTTCGTAGACCATAAATTTACCCGGTTTCACTATTGGGTTTTTTGAACCAGGCCATTACAATTTTTCAATTTTGGAGATACGCAATTACAATTCGTCTATTTGGAGAGCTGCCATTATAATTTCATCTATCCCTCATCCATGCCATTTTCTACGCCTCTCGCGTACATGGGCCCATTGTCAAGGACGTATGCATACAGGAAAGCATATGGACGTTAAACCGTGCTCCTCCGTTAGACGTGCCCGCGCTCGTCCGTCTCCTTCGGCTAGCGGTGGCGTTGGGAAGACGGGGTTGCCGGT